CACGGTCCCTTGCACTCTAGAATGAGGCGCTAAATACGAAAGTGTCCACTGATGCGTCCAGCTATGGCCTGGGCGCAGTTCTCTTCCAGCGCCATTAGACAGAGTGGAGGACGGTGGCTTATTGTTCAAGAGTGCTGACAGAATCCGAATCTCGATACTCTCAAATGGAAAAGGAGGCACTGGGCAGCACATTTAACTGTGCGCGATTTCACAAATTCTTATATGAACGGCCCATAGTCTTGGATACTAATCACCCATTCCTTATCGCCATCTCAATAAAGAAAGTACGTGCCATGCCACATCGCCTGCGATGCTTTTTTTGCCAATTATTAAACTATGACCACTTGTTTAAACTCGTTCTGAGTAAAGAAGCTGATATTCGCAGATGCGTCATCGCGTGAACCGGCCGGCTCCAAAGGACACACAACCGGTACCTGATGATTATGATGCGGAAGTATGTTCAGTCGTAACTCTCCTAGACCTTGTGAGCAATATCACAATGAGCAAGCCGCAGTTGCTACACCCGATGACACTGTTTTTTTGTGTGGGTAATCAGCTGCCTTCATGAACTGCGGTCACTGCCTCAATCATTTCTTTACAGGTCGTGCGCAAAAAAAAAAATGTCAGTCCTTCAGGTCGTACTTTAAAAGGCGCTCAAGGTAGTTATTCCAAAGAATCTCAGAAGACACGTGCGAGGCTGCGTTGAGGCCATTTGCGAACAAACAAATGCAAATCAAAAGCTCACCAGTTAATGTTCTGGCCTGGATTGCTATCAAACTTTGTACAATGGCTCAACAGCTGTTCATTGCGAAAACATCATGCATACCAGCGACCAGCTGAAACACTGTCGATGAGAACAGTGCTATTTCGCGCATGGGTGCACGTTGGTGTAGTCTTACTTCCGTCTTTTGGACAAACATACCTCGACGCTTTTTATGCATACTCTAATTTCCCGGAGGTCGAGCAGCTCAGAGACAGCTCGACAGATGCAGTGGTGCGTATTATCTGCGATCTTTGCGAGGCATGAACTACCGATCGAAGTGTGTACTAGCGATGTAACCTAGTTCAGTTCCAATGCACTTAAATCTTTGCACTCATATATGACCTTCAGCACGTCCCTCCGAGCCCACACTTACCGCGCTCAAACCGTCTAACCGTGAAAGGCATACATACCGTTAAGAGTATTGCGAAGAAGCACACTCATTCACACGAAGACATCATACTAGGCCTTCTGAACTACAGGTCTTCACCGCTGGAGGATGGCCGATTCGATCGACAAGTGAACTTTTGATGGGGAGACGAATAAGGTCGTGCTTACCCGACTTCATGGAGCAGGCTCCATAACCATTACACAAGCGTCAGCAGAGCAGTTGTTGCTTAGACCACTCTAGGAGATAAATGTGAAGAGAATGGTACGCTTGACAGTAGAGAACTGCTGCTCCAGGGTAGGCAAAGGTCAAGACGTGGTGCCTTTATATCCTACCGGGTCGTCACTGAGAGGGGCAGAACGTTACGAACAAACAAAGGGCGCATCCTTCCCACCCTCGAGGATCTTAACACAGAAGAGGTAGAAATTGATGGTCCAGACCACAAAGAGGTCTCTCACAGCACTTCATTGACGTCGACATATTGTCCTTCATTCCTAAAGGAACCTATTGAAGTAGGCTCGGCATTTCCACCCCCAGTGGGAGTGAATGTGCCACCTTTGGACTCTGCTAGAGGGACATTACAGCGCACATTGAGCATCTCCCTCAGAAGCTGACGTATAACGAAGCTTTTCGGCGGCAGCCGTGACGATCGTTTCAGCCCCTATGATAAGGGAGGTGTAGAGGCAAAGCCTTTAAGTTGTTTTGGCAACCCAGTCACCCATTTTATAGTTTTGGAACGTTGCTTGACTGAGTCTTCAATATTTCGTGACGTTGAACAGACGTTAAATAAAAAGTTAACCTTCACTAAGCAAAGATAGTGAAGGTTAAACAGAGTGAATTTACTCTAAAGACTAAAGTATCCTGCCGGACAATACAAACTCAGATATCTGAAAAGATTCGTCATGTAGGAAACACCAGTGTCACTAGGTTCGTTGCAATAAGAAGTATGTTAAGTAAACAAAGACGAGATCTAGTTGAACTTTGGTGATTTGTATAGAAAGGAAAAGGCTTTTTGTCAAAATCAAGAAATGAACTGGAAAGCTAAATATTTAAGACAAATGTTTGGAAGCTTGAGTTCGATTTTGTCCCACCTTGGTCAGATCAAAGTGTTGGGTCCGTCGTTTACAAACTCACGAAGCTCTGACATGGTGAAGGAGGGTGAAGCCTTGCAGGTTTGCTAAGGATTCTCGAACCGAAAGGAGGTCGACACAACTTGCCTCATAAAAGCCACGGTCTTCGATTTTTCTTCTTTTTTTTTTTTTGGAGGGGGGGGGGGGGGGGGGCATCCTGAGATCTGGCAACTCAGTCCTGGTTTAAATCGGGTTACCCAAGCGGCTATACCAGGCTGCCAACACCGCTGGCTCTCTTGCCGAATCCCGTGCCTTGTTCCTCGTGCTTTCCACAAACGTTCTTTTTATTATTTTTATTCACATAATATCACCTAGCCTCGAAGCTTTTCTGCAAAACAGCCATGTTTAACTAGAAAATTTCTGTATTGCAGACAGGACTTTAATATATTTTATCAAAATTGAAATGTGTCTTAATCTTAGGAATGAAACGAAAAGACAACGTGTTCAGCGGATGCACGATTACATATTTATCCTTACAGTTACTTATTCTTATTATTCATTCTGAACAATAAAGACTTACTAAATTTAGCTACATTTGGCGACACGTAACGTCACCAAATGTAGCGGCGATGTGAACTTTTTTTTTACACTTTTCTGCAGCGTCCCAATCAATCTAACAGAAGCCAATCCTATAAATACAACGTTTTGTGCAAAAACAGCCAGTTTTAATAGATCCATGAAACCTTATTTTTCGATAGAAAATGAACTGGAGGTCGTCTTGGTGCTGCTCAGAGTGCGAATGAATAATAGACAGACAAGACAATGGACGACACAAGCACCTCTTTCAGAGGAAGATGCACGTCTTGGCCACTTACTTCCGCAATCTTTCTACGTACCCTGTTCTTTAGGGGTTGCGCGCTAGAGCTGTGAGGACTCTAGAATTGTTAATTACTAACAATGTGCTTAGGTTCATCGAGCACCTCGGGGGCGCAATATCGCACGCAGATTGCTGGAAACAGTTGTTCAAAATGACGCAGGCTTATAGTGCTGATGAGAAAACTTGCAATGGTAAATAAAAAAAAGTGTAGCGCGCCTGGGCTTTCAGCTAGCTAATTGAAGCAAGTTTCGTTTAAACGCAAGATGAGGTTTTGAGTTTTTGTGAATCTTGTTCACTAGCAAATGGGTGCAGTACGTCAGTTGCTGTTTTCATTTAAAGTATAAATACTGCAATGTCCGATCGTTCAAAGACAAATTGCAAAGTCGTTTCAGATTTAATCTATAGAGTTATTTTTAATTATTTTTCGCGGTTTCTTGTTTTTTACTGGTTTTTGCTTTGAAGATTAAGCGGAGACCATACCTTTTTTCCCCTACCAGAATATGATCTAAACAACTACGCTGATCAAAATACAACAGCGGTACATTTTTGACAATTGTATTTGACTTCTTGCTATTGGCACAGCAAAGAGATATCATAAAAGAAAATAGATATTTCAGCGAGATGTTCAGCTGTATCATACCTCTAAAAAAAAACCTAATGAGAGTAACGCAAATAACGTACTTATGTAACGACATCTCCAACTGAGGACCGATGTCTCCTGTCATCACTCCGGGTGTTACGGCCGAACCTATATTTTCTTTCAGGAGGGTAATATATAAGTTGTCATAACCATGCTCTAATATAGTTTTTCAAATAATACATTTTACATTAGCGACATAACGTATATTTTATAAATTTTAAAAATGTTAATTCAAAGCAAACTTCTGTTTTAATTTCCAGCAAACCTGAAAACCAAATACAAAAAGGCTGCTTTCATGACATTGCAAGTGACTAAGAATATTTGCGTTTTTTTGTTGATATCTGAATGAACGTCTGACTTATTTCTTGTTATACACAATGTTTGTTTTTTGTGTATTTACTTCTTTTTTCACTAGAAATTAAAAAAAAAATTAAGTTACATTTTAGACATTCATATGCGTTATTTTTGTCTAAACATCTCGTTTTTTGATCGGTCAGAAATAAACAAAGGAAAAGCACGTTTTATTTCATCTCCCGGAGCGCAAAATTGAGGATTCGAGCAATGGGTGGTTACTTTCCTGTGAGACATTCGGCGTGTCATTCAAAAGTTCACCTTCCTTTTGGAAACAAAAAAATTAATACGACCTGAATTTGCGTGGTTTAATTAACAATATTATCCTCAGTGGAAACCAGCAGGTGTCCTAATTTACACGGCAGAACCAACCGAAAACAGGTGACCAGGTCACCGTCGTCCTCTAGGATTGTTTAGCCGTGAGGGGCTGGACAATCGCAGCTGGTTGCGATGTCCGGGTCCCCCTGTCCCACTCGGGCAGGTCGTATAGCTTTTGGCCCAAGGTCTGTGAAAAATAGAAACAGATAAGGCGGAGCCACGTAGTTAATAACCCAAATAACTAGACATTGTTGGATTATGCGTTTTGAGCACAGCACATACGTGTATGTTTTTGGAAGCTACCATAACAACACTGTAGTGTAGATAATGCGAAAAGCAACGCGCGACACACAGGTTTGTATTTTCAGAATGTCTGAAAGAGAAGCACTGTTATATCAGTTCGATATAAGTCCTGATTTTTATTGCTGGTTTTTGGCGGGATTGAAGCTGTAAATAAAAAAGTAATAACACGAATCAGTCCTAACTAAAAGCTAAAAGACAACAGTTTTTTTTTCGGAAGCCATATGCCATGATTAATCTTCAGTTACACCAATATGAGTATTATTTTGATATAGGATGTTGTTGTTATATTTTAGCTGGTTGAATTAGGCGGAACACACTGGGTCAAGAAACGAACGTACGAAGTGACGACGCCAATGGGAAACCCAACATGTGAATATGCTAAAATCTACGGTGAGACGACGACGGGAGATGGCTACACCTTGGAACTGGGAGCTAAATTAGGATCCAAGTAAGCAATATGTCTTGATTTCTGCTTCATCTAATTTAGCAATAGGCAAAGACAATCCACAAAAGATAACGCACTAGGAAGCGTCAAGTGAAAATAGAAGTATAGCAAATCAACAAGACAAAACACAATATATCGGACTTGCATATATGAGCGCCCTTAGGTGTAAATAGATTAGAAAAAAAAAACATTTACAATTTTTGTAACTGGAAAAAAGAAATTGAGAGTGAGGCAGTTATGGATGCAACTGTCTGAAAGATTGTATCATAACTGAATAGACTATTTTCAAGTGTGCGCGCCATCTAGTAACTGCTGCGTCAATTATGCGAGCACGCCATTGTTTTGGGCAGGCACTCTGAGCTTATATTGGACACGAGGATTGCGTAAATGTTAGGCGAGAACTCGCATCTAACCCCACACCTCGTGCCCAAGAAACGGTGAACGCCATTGTTGCTTGGCGGACTTTTAAAAAAGGGTCTATTTTGAGTGCTAAACATTAGGATACCCTGCAACCGAAAATGCCTTTAATTTTGTAAATATATTTACATTTTAACATTATCGCGCGGAAAGTAATGGTTAGTAACAATGGGGTGACAGTTGAACAGTTCATGAAGCGAGCAAAAACGTCCTAGGCTTCTAACGCGAGAGTGGTATTTGTTGAATCTCCTTTTTAACACAGAATGCCGTTCCGCTAATTTCTATCAAAATTTAAACTAGCCTGAGCATGCTGACAAAAACTAAGACACACAACAGGTTTTGAGCTACCGTAGACATACATTGTGTGGTTGCGCTAGCCCTGCACAGACCCGCGCCACCCTCATCCAACAGATAGAACAGACGCAACCCACGCACTTAGTGTGTTTTATAGCTCAACACGTTCCATCTCTGTTGGCCTTTGCAGCAAGACCATGCTAAGATTATATTTTTTTAACGCAGTAACTATTTTATTTGTTCGTACTGGATTGTTTTAAACAGCTCGAGGCTCCTGTCTTTTATTTGAACTGTCTTTTTTCTATAACAGGTGGACATCAAAAAATCAAACATTGTTGTTCAAAACCACTGGCCAACATCCGGCACCAAACGTACTCCTGTTTAGCAGACTACAGGGTATAGTTGATTCATTATAAATTTAACTGTAATTAATTATTGTGTAGTGAAGATTATAGGTTATTTAGGAAGGCGACTCACGAAAATCCTCTGCGAGAGTTTTATGGTCATGTAACTACATAATCAGAGCACGTGACAGTAGCTATCATAAAGAGCTTGCAGGAATCCGTAGTATAGTACCATTATAAAATTAGTGAAGCCAATATCAGTATAAATTTGACTGGCTATTCTCAACCTACTAATTAAATCAAACTCACCTATGTAGGAACATGAATTGTTACATGACATAAGCATTTGAACATTGCAATGAACGCGAAACTATTAAGGTGGTTTCTTTTAAAATCAAACACGTGTGTCGGATTGGATACTGTCGTGGATGGAACAGTTGCTCGGCGAGCGTAAACTGAAGAAAAAAGTTTAATCAGCAAGCCAATGCCAGAAAAAAAATAGAGCGTCGAAACAGAGGCAGCGAAGTCGCGGCGTCAGCGTGACAGCTGGCTGGAGCGAGACTTGCTAGAGAGAGAATGAGGACGAGCCGGGCAAGATTAGGCTCAGCTCCTTTTCTACTGCACTCGGAATCTCGGATTTTCGACTTAGAATATTCGAGGGTGTGCTAGGACGAGACCGGCTCAGCAAGGTCATGCTGGCCTCACTAACGTTTATGTTAGGTTTAAGAGTATACTTGAATCTTTTGGAAGTACGAAGAAGCGTTTCTTCTCGGTCTTCCACGCTGTAATACTTTCATTTGCCTCAATAAAATTTATTGTAGCCACATTTTTATGAGAAACGAAGTCACTCTTTGCATTTGTTTAGAAACAGCATTTTTCTCCACAAACATTCGGAAGTGGAGCGGGGTGAAACGCTACATTCTTGCTGCTTGATTTTTGTACCCAGGTATTTTGTCGGTCGTTATAAATAGATAAAAACGAAAACACACCCAGTATTTATTTTTACTTTGAACTAATCTGCTTTGGCATATTTAATTTCATAAATAAAATGATGTGAAACACCGCATGTTTGATGCTTTGGTGACATTACAGGAGCCTTGTGTATTAGGACAGATGACACATTTTGCTTACTAAATAATATAAGCCTGTACCTATAGATATGCTGTCGTCTGGCGCCACTTTAGTTTAAGTTATTTTTACAAGCATATTTTATATAATTCTTTGCTTAGTGAAGAAATAAAGGTAGTCATAATTTTAACCCCCTTTATGAAAAAAATTCTTTTTTTTTTCTCCCTTATTTTTTTATTCTTCGCAATAATCTTAGCTTTTTATGAGTTAAATAAAATTTCTCTCTTTTTGTTTTATTTTCTGTAGAAGTGCGCATATACGGATATACGCACCGGAATCGGAAAAAGGGTAGCTTCGCAAGTTGAAGTTTCTAGCCTTAAAATGCAAAGAGCATGGGGTTCGGAAGAGTTCGGGAGGTGAGGGGGTGACGGAGAGTGGCGCTAGATGGAGGGAGGGGAGTGGACATGTCTTGTGGGTGTGCCCCTATCAAGACAAAAAGTCTGCCCCTACGTCCCGCTGTTCCGACGCCAGCGGCTACGCATGCTATTTCTTTCTTTCTTGGCCAAGGGATTAAGGGGGAGGAGGGGAGGGGTTTAGTTAGTTATAAATTGATGAAGGTAAAAAAAATTTTGCTTCTAATAAATTGCGCTAGGTATGACTACATTTTTTCATTACGAAATTTAAACATTAATACAAATTATTTTGTAAAAAGATATTAAACTGATACTAGTAAATAGCACTTGTATATGTCTACTTGCATTTAGTATTTAGTAAGCAAAATGTATAATGAATCCTAAAATAAAAGGCTACAAGTATGTCAGAAAAAGCGCTTAAGACACAATGTATGGCTTCTTTTAATATTTCGCATCAAATATGCAAGAGCAGTCTAGTGTAGAGGATCAAATAGGCTTTGCGTCAGATATTTACAAGAAATATTACTGAGTGCTCGTTTTTCCCCAGTTATAATGACTGACAGAACTAAATAAAAAAAATCCAGCAACCAAAAATTTATATTTTTCATGGCACCAATTCCAATTTTTTTTCAAGATTACTTTTTTTATCCCATTTTAACTAGTCGTTTTTTATTAGGGTAATGAGGCTATAATGTGTGTTTTTAATGCAAATCAAGATAACCACATTGACAAGCGTGTTTGATTTCAAGGGAACCCACCTTGCTATGAGCATAAATATTATGTATATCAAATACAGCTGCTGAGATTATTTTCCAGCTTTGATAATTTTATTCCAGTAATTATCTCGTAAAAGTAACAACCTGCCTTGACGTGGTAACAACTACAAACACGTGCGTCTCTTTACCCCAAAACTTTTACAACCGTCAGAACTGCGCAGGGGTCCAATTTATGTTCAAATATATTTTACATAGCGAGTCTATACTGGTTTTAGTACTTCGGACGTTTAAATCTGAAAATATATTACACACTTTCTGCCATTTTAAGCACTGATAGGACAAGCTATTTTTGTCGCCAAGTATGCATAATTAATGTCATGGTTTTCATGGGTAACTACACAATCTTATACGAGACGCCTTTTACATTTATAATACATATTAAGGTCACTAAACAAGCTCTGACAAGTAACTAAAACAGATATTCAAATGTTGGCTGTGTCCAAGCCCTGCTTTGAAAACTTACATATGTAACACGATATACACATAATAATGCGGGCTTAATAAAAGTGACTCGCGTACTTTTCCAGCTGACGGACCACTGGGTCATCCACTACTATACTCTGATTACAAAGTATGCCACATTGTAAGAATATTGAAAAAGGATTCGCCAGGTAGGTTCGCGCTTCTTTTTAACCCAGAATGTGCTAGCGACATAAAAGGGAATTATGATGTTTTGTGTTGATTTATTTTGTTCACTCAACTCAGTGAATATAGGCTTGCTGGAGTCAAGACAATTTTGATGTTTCTTAACAATTTCCATTTATACGAAGACAATGAAAGCCGCAAGAAAGATAGAGTGTACATGCCTAGTAGTAATTATTAGAGGTCTATGCCTGGACTTAAAATATTTTATCAGTACAATTTTGGATATTATGTTACTACTGTAGCTTTCCTAGAACCACCATGGTTGGCAAGCTGAGAGGGGGGGGGGGGGGTTCGAATTCACTAAAAGAAGTTAATGACGGCAATTTCTGGTTAGGCATTGGTACGAGTAATTTGTTTATCCTCTCTGATTATTTTTAAATTTTTGCCTCGGCACTTGATGTTTGAAACTATTCACGACTTATTATATCTCTTTCGTGCGACAAAAATAGACATTATATAGCGTATTCCACCAGGGCAACTTGAGGAGAATTTATATGCTTGATATATTTTGAAACATGTGAGAACGAACGCTAAAGGAGTCGAATGAATGTTAAAAAATAACACGTTGTAAAAAATATAAGTCTAAATAAAAGAACAGCCAAGACAATTGAAACGTGTATTGTATAAATGTTCAGCATAACATTTGTATTTCTAAATGTGCGCGAACTGTAAACACAAGCTCAGCCAGTCTGCCGAACTATAAAAAAGTAGTTTTGTTTACGGCTTGCAATGCATCATCAGTGGAGCTTCCGGAAAAATACATAAGCAAGTGAGACTCACCCTAAATCAGCCACGCATACCAAGGGGCCCAAGAACCCCAAATTGCTTGGCAGTTCCTTTACTTTTTTGGGGGGAGGGGAGGCGTATTGTGTTTAGGGATTGCTGGGCTTATTTTTATAACTGCTTGCGAAGCAGGGTGCTTTATTTCACGATTTTAACTTTTATACGTGGCTTGAGGCACGAGAGATGTATTAGCACTTCAACTTTATGTTACATAACAATTTTCTGTACATTCCAGAAACTCAAGAATACGTTTAGATGGAAAACGTGTTTTCAAGGTTTAATTTTATTATTAATGGCGACGTCCGGAATCCTGCGAATAATGATAGCACCTTTTGCAATGAATACAATTATTTGGCAGTGACAGGTTGCAAGCGCCTGTCGTTATTGGATGTTGATTTGCATTTTAATTACACAAGCGTTACAAAAATTTATTCTTAATCTTTTTGGGATAACATTCAAACATTTCTGAGCAACGTGTTTTATCTGTAACCGTTCACCCACGCTTTGCGCTAGGCATTCATCTCAACCGATCATTCCCAATCACCATAGCGTTAGAAATATTGACATCAGCAAGATATAAGTAAGTGTCTTAAACTATATGTTTTTCAACCCTACCGTCTTATTCAAACGGCAACTTTTTATGCGAGTTTCTTTTTTTTTTGTTTTTTAAATCTGTGTAGAGTGGGTATTTTTATGCAGACTATATTGGTTCTTGTTACTCGCTCCGTGGCACGCGTCTGTATTTGAGTACATGCTGCACTGCTGCTGCATTTTTAGGGTTGTTGTTGTTGTTAGAACGTTCTTTATTGCCCTGTTATATATAATATATATATATATATATATATATATATATATATATATATATATATATATATATATATATATATATATATATACCATACATATAATGCACCATTGTCGGCTGCATCGGTGCGGGCCTAAGGATCTGCCGTTGCCGTCATGGCGGTCTGGGTGGGTGTTGGTCCCAGCGCCTTCGGCTGCTGCAAAGTCGTCCACCGGGGCCATCGTTGTCGTAGACGAACTCCGCCAGCTTTGTCCACAGCAGGGAGACGATCGTCTTGTCACGACTGGTGGGCAGAATCCAATCGACATACGTCGCCGGACGGATCTCGTCTGGGAGTTCCTCCAGTTTCGTTTTCCGAAGGCTAGCGTGGCGCTCGCACTCCCAGACAACATGGGCAGTTGTCGCGGTCTTCCGGCACCGGCAACACACCCCCTCGTCGGGATCGTCGCCGAAGAACTTATGGCGCAGCGCCGGGGATAGGACAGTGTTGGTCGCGAGGCGGCAGACGAGGGTCTGAGTGCTCCTCGGTAGGTCATTCGGCATCGAAGGAACGGGACGCAACTGCTCGTCCGGGCGTTCCTCCCGCTCCTCACAGAGGTGCCGTAGGGTTCTCCGCCTTCGCTGTTTAGCACTTTCCTTGACGACAGACGGGTCGGCCGGGCCGGCTGCCTTGCCGGGGGCGTGGACCAGTCATGCAACTTATAAGCAGGTTTTTTTCCTTTGTTTTTCCCACATTATGTTTGTTGGAAAATTAAAAAAAAATATATTCGCGGTATTATCTAAAAATATATTCTATGAAATAAAAGAATAGGCAAAGCTTCTGACCAACCATTACCCCTTTCAGATTACCGTTGTGACTTGCTACTAACTAACGAGGCTGCAAAAGAAAGCCCACCCGCTGCTTGCGAAGCGAAGTTTCAAGAGTATTGCAAAGGTCCTTGGTATGAATCCTACAAGAGTAATTGTGACGAAACAGGACCAAAAACTTCCTGAAGTCGCACTTGAGGACTATAGAAATATATCTGTAGTTTAATTAATCTTTAAATAAAATGGCACGGTATAAATATTGAATTTGTCTCAATGACGTTGGAATTGTTTAATGAGCGTAACGCTGCACCTATAAATGTATATAAATATTAAGGCTGTGCATGAACAAACACGTTTTATCGAACAATGAGTGACTTTGCATTTATTAAATTGACTGTTACTCGGTGAAATGCAGCAAAAAAGTGTTAAATTATTGTGAAATTTTAAGTATAGAGTGTACAGTTGGGACACATAATAATTGAGATTCGCATATCCTCATCAAAAGGCTTATTTTTGTATAGCCTTAGTAGTAACAGTGAGCAGGGGCGTGCACAAGGGGGGGGGGGGGGGGGAAGAGCAAGGGGGTTCTGGCCATTGCTTTTGAGTAGGTTAAAGCGCAGATTGAATTAGAACATTTTTTTTTTTTTTAGTTTGTTCGATTTCTAAAATGTGTTTTTTGCTTCAGCAATACAAATGGCTGGGACGATGTCGAGATTAAGAAATATCAGGTCCTCAAAACATCGGCAGCAGATTCCAGAGGATGAACGGAATCCGTTCGTGTTTCTTCTCGGCGAAGAGAGAAGTCAAGGCCGCGCAGCTAGAAATCTTATGGCGGTGCTGCGGGGTGTCTATGGCTTTAGCTCGGTGCAAGCGGGGCTTCTCCAGCAGAGATGGCAAAATTACTTAAAAAACAAACTTATTTTGCATTAATATTTAGGTTTCTAAAGAATGCAAAATTGCAAATAAATTACATTACAATTACCGCAGACACAGACTCATGACTTTACATTACAACTACTTTCCAAACGTTGGACGTTACATTTCAATGCCTTGAGACAGATATTCGTGATCATGTTATGTACAGTGGCCCAAATTTTTTATAGTATCAAGCGACCGTCGACCGCCGGTCCGGTCATCGCCGTGCCGCGGAGGGGTGCGGCAATACGGGAGTGATTATGCGCTTGCGCACAAAGCTCTTCCCCGTGCGAGCGTCGTCTGCTAGGCTATTCCGTTGAGCGTACACAGCACCTTTTCCGTAGCAAAGGAGCGCAGGGCGCTGATTGACATTACATCATTGTTTATCCAACGCCCACCTCTCTTGATCTCTCTTTCCCCCCTGCTTCTCTTATCTATTCGTAGAGCAAATGCCTGAAGAGTGCGCGCGCTGGCGTGATACTCGTGTTGCACGGCATAAACCATGGCGCAATGAAAATAGTTTCACTATGCGGTCTGTATGGTTGTGTTGTTTTGTGCTTGAATGTGCTGCCAATTGCTATTTCGTGTGCTCGAGAAAAAAAGAAGCGAGTGATAAGTAAGCGCTGTTTAGATCCTTGCTTAAAGGCGGTTTGCTCTGCCAGCAGATAAAGAGCAGGGTTTGTTTGCGGTTAACGGAAGAGCCTAGCAGACGGCGCTCGCACAGGAAACGGCTTTGTGAGCACGCCTAATCTCTCTCGTATCGCCGCACTCCTCCGCGGCACGGTGCTCGTCGGCCCGGCGGTCGACGCTGGCTTGATATTATCAAAAACTTGGGCCACTGTAGAGTATATGCAGCAAAATTCAGATCTCCCTGTTTACACCACAACAAGCTTATGCGCCTCAAAGTGAGCCACACTGAGCAGTCGTTTCGCTGGTGCGTGCACGATAGAAGTGTTGAGCATGATGAATAGCTTATTTAGATGTGACTCAAAGACAGTCGATTCATCGTTTCTTTATTCATTCAACGGCAAAGTCCGTGTCTGTAAGTTAAGTCGGGCGATCGGAGCTCGTTCTTACAAGGAGTCGTCATGCAAAACGTTCGCCTTCCAACTCGGACGGACACTAGCTGACGCATTTACGGTCATTCCTTTCAAGGAGTATCGCTCCCAAACGCCCTAAGAGCCCGAGCAGGCACGTATCCAGAATTTTGATTCGGTTGGGGGGGGGGGGGGGGGGGGGGGGGGGGGGGCATGACAAAATGTTGTATGAAGGGGAGGGGGAAGAGGAGGCCCCATCAAAATGGGAGATCCCGGGGGGGGGGGGGGGGGGGGCGGAGAAGGGCTTGGACCCCGTGCCCTCCCCCTCCCGAATAGGTGCCTGAGGGGGCAGGATGTTTCCTGGGCAGAAGCGTGGTAGAAGGTGAAAGCCCGCCGAATCAATCAACCGTCTGATTTTTATCATTTGATTCCGCTCTCTAAGCGCGGGAAATGGCAAGAGCGTGATCACGGGGGAACAGTTCGATGGATGACTCAGAAGCATCGCGGTTTCTAATCCCGGAATGCTTGCTGACCAGTGACATAGGTTGGTTTAGTGTGCCTACATGTTTCCGCTCCGCTTTAGGGTGGCGCCTACTTCTTGTTACCCTTTCCCAGATCCTCTCCCACCGCGATTTGTTCCCACTTCTTAGTTCGCTAAACGTACACAACGTTGACTTTCTGTAGTCTCGACACACCGGCAACACTGTGAGGCCACTTCCGTTTCCGTTCATAAGAGAATTCGGAGGCTCAGCGGGATGGCGGTATTCGGCTGTCGCTCTCTTTATTTGGGTGTTTCATATTGTGAAGTGGCAAGCAGGAAGTGTGCGTTACTTTTATCGAAACGCGAGTTCCCGCAACAAAATCGAACGCCACAGACCGGCATTGAACGCCGAAACCAAGCCGTCGGAACGAGAGCGGTGAGTGCTCCCTAGCCCTAACGAGGATTAGCGGCGCAGTCCGAGCGCCCGACCGGCGAGTGTGACAAAATGGTCGACGAAAACAGCGGAGGTTGCCATGGTAACGAGGTAGGCAACACTGGTTTGTCGGCAACAGGTACCGCAAACGTTGTCGACACCTTAAACAGCGGAGCGGCGGAAACATGTAGGCCCCTTAGGTTGGTTTGTCGCGGGCTGTGGAGCTGCCAAGGATGCTGAGCGACACAAGTTATTCTTGCTAATACGACGAAGCCGCGGTGTTATGAGCGCAGGAGGGGCATGTTCGACAAATATTTCGTTTCTCCTAAAAAGAAACGGAAGTGACCGAAATGACGATATCGCGTCTGATTGGCTATAGGCCCAAATGACGGAAGAGGGAACTTTCGTCATTTGAGCCTCTAACCAATTAGACGCGATATCATCACTTCCGTCACTTCCGTTTCTTTTTAGGAGAAACGAAACATTTGTCGAACATAGCCCCCCAGGTCATCTCTTTATCCTGAAGACAGAAACGGTGTTTACCGTAATATTTACTCCAGTAGGCTCGTGTTAATCTTCGAACAAAACCAAAACTACCTCTATTTTGGATTTAGTTTCTCGGTATAGGTGTTAATTTTTGATTATTTTGTTACTCGAGATCTCTCTCACAACGTAATTATTAAGGTGCAACCCCACCCTTGGTTAGTGTGATTCTGAACCAACAGATGGCGGTGGGATCGCCTTCCAAGCCTGTTCATCAATCCGAGAAATCGTGTGTGGTGGCGCTTCGATACAGTGGGGTATTTTTCTATATCCTGAATTTAACATCCCTGGTCCCTTGCTTGTTTTTCTCTGCACGAGCTTTCTTTGGAACGCGCACAGCTGCGCCAGTTCTCGTGCAAGGGGGCCAGTTGCCTACGCTCCGAGCTCACGTCTCTAGCAAATGTGGGCAGAACAAAACGCGAAAATCGTCCTGAGCCAAATGGCGAGACACATGCACAACCAAACCACCGACGCGTTGAAATATATAAAATTGCCTGTGCGCCGTTACCGGAGATTTTAGAGGCCAATTACACATATTTCAATATGATCAGATTTATGTTGACACGAATGAAGGTGACAAGAGGACGAATAGTGAACTGAAAAATAAAGGCCTAATCGGCGAACTTGTGCCAAACAAAAAAAAAAAAGTAAGGAAAGAGCGTCGAGGCAGCAGAAAAGGAGGCGGCGATTCGGCAGCGTGACAGAGAGCGAGACTGAGACTGGCTCGACAAGGTCGCGGGCAGCTGGTTATCTACCGTGCGTCACTATCTCGAAAGTTCGGCAAGGAAGGTTCGAGCGTCGCGCGCTCGGGGCGAGGATGAACTGGCACTTTCGAGAACAAGAAAACAGGGCAAAAGTTACGCCTGGTGAAAGAATGAACGCAAATATTCTAGAAGTCCGTGACTGAGCGTTGCTTTCTCGGATCGGCGGGCGGCATTATAGCCAACCGGCAACGGCCAGGCGGCGCCAGTAGGGTGAGAGCGCACGGTTATATCCTGTCTCGTTGTAACTTGGCAAAGGGTGAACGATAAGCCCCACACGCCGAAGGCTTCGAAATGCGCGACGTATACGAGCGCAACGCACACATATTGGAGCATGACGCAGCGAAAAGCCTGATACTTCTCCGGAGTTGAGGCGCGCTCCGGTGATACGCAGTCACGTTCGGATTGGCCCGCCAGCGCCGTAGCTTCCGCTCTACTGGCACGTTACGCGATCACGGCTTCCTGGGATACCCAGTATTTCTTGCTTCATACACTAGGCTAAGCGGCGCCACCAGAGTAAAACCTCACGCTTGAACAATGCAGCCGCCACTGACAGGGGTACCCAATATTTCTTGTTTCAATCACTAGATTGCGCCAAACCAAACAGCATTGCAGGTTGCCTATGACGGGCCGGCGCTTTTGTTGTGCATGTGTTTGGATCTTTGTGGATTTCAAGGAAAACGAGCTGACGGAAAAGACTTGGGTGTCCAAAATTCTAGCCTAAGGAATTAACCACCTAAAAAATAAAAAATAAGCTATTTTTGGGTGGTTAGGTGCCTCATTTAGGTAGCTGGGTGTTCATTTTGACCAAAACCACGAGACTGGAAAACACAAAAAATGGCACTCAGGTTTAGATGTTTAGTTTGGTAAACCCAAAGTAGGGCTGGTGCGGGAGTCATAACAAAAAAATGCCTAGGTTAAAAATTAACTCACAGCAATAAATGATAATTAATTATCATTAATTTGTTATTATAATAATTAACAAATTCAGTGATAAATGCAGTGACTGGCCAGGC